GTGCACAGTTTTGTGTGTGTTTTCAACATGTCAGGAGTGAAATGTAAACACGTTACTCTTTCATTAAATGAAAAATTAGCAGTGCTACAAAGACTCGACAAAGGGGAAGATTGTTTATTTTACTTTTTTCTGATAATCCAACCTTTTTTGCATTCCGACCATAACCCCAGTCCCAAAGGTGACGGATTAGAGGGGTTTTACTGTATATAGAGTTTTCATGAAAATGTCTTTCATTCTAAAATTTAAATTTAAAACTTGATTAAAATAATTATTAATTAATATCTTTAAAATTTTTCATATAATCAAATGTACAATGCCATGTAAAATATATAGATGATTGTATGCCACACTTGGATGATTAAATTGGTACATAAACATGAGAAAAGAAATGAAATATAGAATATCAGATATCAGTCTCTCTCCTATAATATCATTAAATGAAAGCACGAATAAAATCTAACGCTTAATGTAGAATGTGATTCTAAATGCCGAAACTTTGATTTGATATATATATAGATAGATCATTCAAAGCTGTGCAAAGCATTGATTTTACATATGGAGAAGCAAGGAATGTCACATCTGATTAAAATTGTTCAAGTTTGCTCCTAATATTTTTAGGAATCATGATCCCTACTGTTAGTTGCATTCAACTCCTTGGTCCAAAGAGCATACACACATAATGGATTCAACGCAAAAACAATGGGAATTTGACATCACTGTAAAACAAGTAGTCATTCATGGTTATGATAAAAAAATCACCAAAGGGTTCACTGTGTATCACATGAGCTCTCATAACTAACTCAGCAAAAATAGAAGAGAAAAGCTAGCCCAAAAGCATTCTCTGTTTCTGTAAATAAATATTACAATTAAAACAGTTATTTTCTGTAACAAATATAAGAGCATCCATCAAGCCCAGTATTTGCAGTATGGAATGTTTTGAATGAATACTAGCCATTATATCTTTACTATACAGATACGCCACATAATTAACTAACTAACATACAATATAAGTGTTTTATATTCTTAATAGTGAAATAATATATTTTTATAATAACTATATTTTGAAGTATTCTTAAATGCAATTTTTATTAAATTTAAATATGGTTCTGAAAAATTTTATACATGTTATAAACACTTAAATCAAATATGAAAATTTTTTTAAAATTTACCCGTAAGAACTTTACGAAATTAATTCTATCCATGGCAGGTGAACCACTCCAAGCAGGAAATTCCCAATCAATGTCAACACCATCAAAATGAAATCGATTCAATAACTTCAATATGGAATTGATAAACCTGTAAATTAAATAATAAATTAGTAAACTTCAGTTTACTACTACATTCATTTGTATTGATATATATTAAACTCTCAGAAATAATAATTAAAAAACTCATACTTAGTTCTATTGTGTGAAGAAAATACAGCATTAGAAAACTCGCTCCCTCCACCAGCTGACAGCATCACTTTCAGCTTCGGATTCTTTCTTTTTAAAGAAACAGTCCATTCGTATCCTTTAATATCACTCGGTTTACTAGGTACTAGAACTCCATCAACAACAGAAGCAAATCCTATCAAAATGTGGGTGCACAGAGTGGGATCTATGTCACTTGGTAATAAACTATTGTTCTCATTTTCCCAAACATAATAGCAAACTAATTTCTTTGAACTTTTGTGTGCTGCTTCTTTTGAACCTAAAATAATATATTAATTACAATTAGATTAATTTAAATGAAAGGCATATGCAATACTTTGTTTAATAATAATTATTTAATATTTTTTTTCCAATATGTTAGTCACAGTAAGGAACGATTAAACAATGAATTCAAGAAAGAAGATAAAAAAAAACAGAATGAAGTTATCATAAAACAGTAATGCAATTCTTGCTGACTGCAAATAAAAAACAGATCCCTAATGAAAGTCATATTTCAGCTTTATAAATTTACTAGCAGATGATCCCATGCAGCCTGATGGCCAAGCAGTCAAGGTGGCAGCCTGCTGCTTTGGAGGACCTGGGATCAAATCCGGACTGGTTGAAAAACCTCAGGAACTTTACAAGGGATAGTCCATCCAGATATGTAGGGTCCCATCCCTCAATACCTGGTTGCCCCAATGTGGGCCTGGACAAATTCATAATGGGCTTGCTAAAATAGGCCCTCTTAGTGCCCACATGGTGGAAAGAGTTAAAAAAAAAAAAAACAAGAAAAGCAGATGAGCTCGATGCTGCTCAGGCAAAAAAAATAACAACAGCAAAGATTAAAATTATTTTGTACTTCTAACCCTTCCATTATATTACATTATATTATAGTATTTGTTTTAAATTTACAAAGGTTATATAGTATGTAAGGGTTTGTTGCACCGAGTGCCCAATCTAAAACATTTTAAAAATTCATCCACAACATCCACTGATAAGGCCAGATCAAGGCAAAATGCATATGGATTCAGAAAAACACATAAAATAAATATTTACTTATTGATTGTTATTAAGTCTCTGTCGTAAATCTCTCAAAGTTGGAATAGAACGAGTTTTTATTTACTTGATAAATTGTTCTAAAAATAAAACCATAAATTTAAAAATTCTTTTAAACCGTTTTGTAAAAAAGCCTTTGTACTTATATAAATCAAATACTATAATATGAAAAAATATTTATATAAAATAGAAAACAAAAACCATATAAAGAGTTTGATCTTTTAGCATACCATTGTCATGTTTATTACAATACTCAGATTGTACAAAGTGGCACAAATTCAATGACCAAGTAGAGAAATTGAAAGTATATCTTAATATTAAAAAATATAATATCTGTAAAATTTAACTTTAAGAAACTGTACCATTCATACTGCTGAATACCAAATAGTAATCTGCCAATGAATCAAATTTTCAAAAAGAACAGACCAAATATTTAAACTCAGCACCCTCAAAAACCACTTAAATCATATTTTGTGCTTGCTAGTAACTTTGTCTTACGTAATTTTCTTATTTCAATGCCATCATACCTCTGGTTTGATAGAAAGAAAGGACTGTTGCAGAAGAGAGTTGAAATAATTCGGCCAAAAGTAGTTATTCACCTCCTCCTGGAAGAGAAGATGCTCAACGACTACTAATTAATACTGGTCTACTATTAATATTTGAAAAGCTATCCATGTTAGACAGGTTGCAACAGCCCTGCGTGAGATTAAAGTTGCTAACCTTAACTTCTGAAAGCCTTCATATAAAACTTGTTTAAATAAAAAAAATCTTGTAAAGTGCTAGAATAATTCCTTTTATATGATAATAGTGTTTAAATTTTGAATTAAGTGTTTATTTATAACTCAAATGTGAATTCGAAGTCCAATATACTCGCAAAACACGGTTTCAAAAACAACATATATATACAGTAATACCCCGAACTTACGCGATAGGTGGGACCGAGTGATAACTGCATAAGTCGAATTCGTGTAAGTCAGGGTATAATTTCTCAATTTGTGTAAAATCCAAGTCGGACGTACGTAAGCTAATAAATGTTCTCGTTAACCTTATCTTGTCTTTTGATTTGTTCATTGTTACAAGAAATCACCACATAGAGTCTCTCGAGTCTCCGTAGATATAACAAATACGAAAATAAATAACACAAAATAAATTGTAGCTATATGTTGATTCCGCGCGACACATCGAAACACGTAAGCCGAACAATAGTGCTGGGGGAATGAGTAATCAAGAGTTGTGTGGCACTCAAACAAAAGACAAATCGACGTAAAAATCGCGTAACTCCGGGTTTGCATAAGTTGGGGTAGCGTAAGTCGAGGTATTACTGTATTAAAAAATTAGATTTAGTTCATTATTTTGTTAATTTTTTCCAATAGATGGTGTTACTTGTAAAGCCAGCAATCAAATGAAGACATAAATTAATCTATATATAGAAATCCAATCAACAATTTCGGGTGGAATGTATGACATAATCTAAGTTAAAAGTATGAATGTGACTAAGTTTTGTAGAATATACATATATATATATTATACATTCTACTTTGTTTCATGTTTTCACGAACAGAAAAGCAAACTAAAGAAGCTACAAAAAAAAAAGCTTTTTACATCCACTTCCTTTTATCTAGGTTTAAAATTTATAATTTTCATATTATTTCATTTATTGCAGTATTTTCACTAATAACAACAAACAGCCTATTCTCCTCTGTATTTAAATATGCTAGTTTGATTATATAACAAGATAATGTTTATCAATTTATTGGGAACAGGACATGAAGTCATATTTAAACAAATAACAAGAGAGTTTTGGAATTTGAGCTATTTTGTTAGGGAATATTATTTATCAAAATGTGAACTTACAGTTTCTTAGCTCTACAGTAAAACAATTTATAATGTTAACTATAATGTAAAAAAACATTTACTAAATCAATCTTTTATATATAGTATGGACTGATTTTGAGTGATAATTAAAATCATGTTGATAAGCACCACATAAAACAAAATTCTACATAACTTTTTACACCATCCTATTTAGTCCCGGATGACTGCCTAGATATTTATTCAACAATTTCAATTAAAAAAAACAATGTTAAATGTGTTTATGACATTGTATATTTAATAAATAATATTTTAAGGCAGTATTTATAAATATACAAAGCAAAGTTTTATTATACTTAATTAAATACATGATTCTATAAAAGTACAAGCAACCGAGTATACAACAAGTAATATTTAGTACTTTGTGTTGCTTGAAATATCAGATTAAATTAAAAAAAAAAAAACAATTTGCTGACGGAGGACTCAAAACTTGTGTTAACCTAATCATTTGCAATACACAAACACAGATCTACATGTATCAACCCCAAATAAGAGAACATGTTACTAACCCCCATAAATACATTAAAAACAGAACTGAAAATTTAATAAAACAGCAATAAAATTTAAAATTCCATGATGTGTAAATACAACAGAGTATTGTGCCAATTAATGTATATTATTAAATGTTTATGCAAGTTCTTAAACCTCTCAAGTTATCAGAGAGGAGAGATTGCTCTACACTAAGATAACTATCCACCTTGCATCTAAACCTAATAATTCATTAATTGAGCATGATAAAATATGCATGTAATACTGTTCCACCATACTAATAGAGCAGAAATCTGACCACTTTTTAATAATTAAAAGATTTTCCCATCAACTTTACTCATAAGCATTTTGTTTTATGTAAAAGTTGTATGATATCACAACAGATCCTTAGCTTAAACAAATTAACTTGCATCTGGAAAATACATCACAAATCAATCCAACACACTCCTGTAAGATTGGTGTTAATTAAAAAACAAGACTGCCTGCTTCCAGTTTTAACTACATAATATTACACAAATTGATAAGAAAATATATATTTCACACATTAATAATTAGCACTTATTCAGTACCTATCAAAAACACGGAAGATTATAAACCAAGCAGTTGTACAGTGGAAATTTACTATAATAAAGTTTTACATATTTAATCCGTTAATGATTTTATATACTTGTTAATTATACTTGTTATAAACTTGTTAATATTTAAAGTTTAAAATGCAAACTTACCTGTTAAATGCAAAGGAAAAGAACAATTCTCCTCTTGAAGAATTCCTTTATATATTCCGTCGAATACTTTTCGAGACCTGTTGCGAATGTGAGTTAAATCTAGAAATAGTAATGATTATTTATGAATGCTTAATTTTTCTATAATTTGCAAAGTACCCTTCAAACAAACCTTCAGAATCTTTGAGCTGGATTGACACAGAAAGAGTGAGGTATGCATTAACTAAAAAGAGCAAAAGTTCTCTTCTAAACAGATTCATTTAACCTGTGATAAAATATAAATTTTATATTGTATAATGCTTAAACACAAGACAAACCGTTACAGTATTTATATATGTAAATTTATCAGAAGAATGCAATACTTTATATTACAAAATGCATAAACTACAAAGTTAATAAATATAAATATTGTTTTTACTTTGTATATTTAAGATAACCATAACAGTTATCATTTCTACATTCGTATCTGTTGATAAGCTCATTTTATAACATGTTTTTCTGTCATCAATGTACGCAAACGTAACAAAATCTATCCTTGATCTCTTAAAGTTGTAAAATTTTTGTATTTGATTGATAAAAATTGGTTAAAGTAAATTTTAGATAAACAAGTACAGTACACTTTTACTTGGCCGGATGGCCGAGCAGTCAAGGTGGCAGCCCACCGCTCTGGGAGACCCGGTTCGAATCCGAATGGGTTGAAAAATCCCCAGGAATTTTTCGGGGGGTGGTCCATTCGGATATGTCGAGCCCTGTCCCTCACCACCCGGCAGCCCCATTGTGGGCCTGGCCAAACCCATAATGGGCCTGCAAAAAGAGGCCCTGTTAGTGCCCACAGAGCGGAAAGAGTATTAAAAAGAAAAGAAAGTACACTTTTACTAATCCGTCCCTCAATAATTAATCACATCTCAGGTGCGACCGCTCATCCACTTCTGCTTCCACAAAAATGTTAGTAATACAGTATCACACATCCTGTTTCCTGTTTAACTCGAGTTTCATTTCTACATATAGTGGTATATCTTGTGCGCGCGCTTTCCTCCAAAAACAATCGGTAACAAAGGTTGACAGATCATATCAATCAATGTCTTTAGATGTACATGGCTCGGTAATCCGGTACCCCTCCATGCAAGGAGTTACCGGATTAGCAAATATCATAGGTAAATAATCTTAAAGCAACTTATACCACCAAGACATTTAAATATATAAAAAATAACTAAAAAAAATAATTTTAATAAATTTAGTAAATTCAAAATTTAAATACTTCATCTCTAAATACGTTCTGTAATTCACTCTTCATCATTAAGAAATTTCTTAATTATTAATAAAAATATGAAATTGTCATCATTTTGTCTGTACCGTCCAATCGCCGCCATATTGATTCAGATATTATGGTCCTAAATACAAATGAAAATACTTCTTATTCATTATTAATTAGGATCAAAACGATCATTATTTATACAAAATAGACAAAAACGTTACAATTATGATATATGTAAATAGTAATAATAACTTAATCAGCACAAGTAAGACGATACAGATACCTCGCTTAGGAAACAATATGGCGTCGAAAACACGATTCAAAACTCGATCGATTTAAAATAATGAAATTATAACGAATTAACTGTTCTTATAATCATATCTACATTTTTATTTTAAAAATGGAAATAAAATTACCCCACGAACTTTCAAATAAATATACTTACCTAGTTTTAACCGATAAAACGAACAGTAGAATTAATAAACTCGAGTCACGTGTACAAAACAACAACATTTACATTGTGTAAATACGCCACCTGCCGTTTAAAGATGGCAAACTATTTTTGTTTTTATTTAAGTATTTTCATAATCTTTTTCCACTTTTAGAGGGTTTGTCGTCGCTGCAGTTGTATTTAACACTATGATGGGTAAATCTCGTAAAAATCACAAATAATAATACTGTATCTTTAAGTTATCTGGTTAATTTTGCGACCTTGTTGTTATAGGATGCTAATTGTTATATTGCTTTTGTGGAAATTTTCCTGTTATATTGTAAATAATGTAGTAGTATATAGTTAATTTAATTACAATACAGGAAATAACAAAAAAGTTTTGTTTAATATTACTTTTATTTTAAAATTAGTAGTATAAATTAGTTTAACGACAAAAGTGTCCGATGACTTTTATAACACGGAAAGTATAGCGATTCAGTCAAAGAATGACCACCAAGAATTTTATACTTTTGGAATCGGGATCTTGAAACATCGAGAAATCCAAAAATACGGGATTTTTTCTGTATGTATAGATGTTACTGTGTATATATATGCAGTGGCGGCCTTAGGGGGTGGCGAGCAGGGCAATCGCCCGGGGCCTCGCTCTTGGAGGGGCCTCGCGCAACAACCAAGTAGAAAAAAGTTGATATTTAAAACTTTTTATTTTATCCTTGGCTATTAGTTATAACAATAAAATAAATTTAATTCATAGNGCCTCGCAAAGATCTGCCGCCCAGGGCCTCGCAATGGATAAGGCCGCCGCTGTATATATGTGTGAGGGACATGATTTTGTTCACCTTCTTTGAAGCTTAATAACTTCTGCGCTTTCTGCCGAAAATTTCTAAAATTCGGCGGGAAAGTTTGTGTATGAGGGAAGGGTCGTGTATTAAATTTTTTATTTCTAGTAAATCGTTACTTTGATCTAATTAAATGGACGAAATTGAATAATGACATAAAACATAATGAAAAAATGAATTTTTATGCTCTTTTAAGCAATTAAAATCCAAAGTATCATGTACAATAAACGTCTGATTTAATTAACATTATATTTAACTGTAATACTGTTTGGACACTGTATTTTGTGCCAAGTGAGATTTTTCGGATAATCACGCGATATTGCATCACTTGTCATTTTAACTTTCGAGACTCATTCATTAATCATTTTAATTAATTTCATTCCTCCAAAATACTAGTCATTTAATATTATATTAACAAACATACATTTTCGTTTTTTTTTCTTTGTTGCAGTGTTTAATTAGCTTTTACTAACAAGTAGGCCTGTACAAATAAAGGCATAGTTGTTTTTTTCGTCACTTAACGCGTTATTAACAAGTAATGAAAATTTATTTAAATCCATTGTTACGTACAGTCACATAAGAACTACAAAAGTAAAAATGGCACATTATTTTATAAATATTCTATTTTCAAATTATTAGGCTTTTATTAATAGATTAAAAGTAACCGCAAAACGTCACGTCAGGGCGTAGACGATCCACAAATGAAATGTTCATATTTAAAAAATAGGTTGTAAATACCCAATATATTTAAATAAAACCTTCAAAAAGACTACAAAACTGGTGGACAGATCTCGAAAGAACTATTAAGCATACGCAGACTCCTTCTAGATTTTCCGATAACATGGTGCGACCAAAATCTCTATCGTTGTAAATCTAATGGAAAAAATGCTAAATTTGCGATTGTCTGGATCAG